TCCGTGGTGACGCGCATCCGCCACTTTGCAGTGTTGATAAACGGACCTTTGTGGATTTCTAACAATAAATTAATTCAGGGTTTATGCACGAATGTATAGTGGCAAACCAAAGCATGCATAAGCAAACCTTACAGGCAGTTATAGTTCGCTACAGAGACGTTTTTAAGCCTGTACTCAGCAGTGACCGGAATTTGTACATGCTGCGACGATTGAGGAAGTAATGATGAGAAATAACGTCGTCAATAAATGGCGATACTTAGGGCGCAAGTGCGCGTAGTGCGAAACGTCAAGGCACTATAAATGGAGGGAAACGGCATACGTAGACAGAGGTTAGCTTATGCTTATACATGTCACGAAAATAGTGAACTATGACTCTAGTCGCCTCGCCAGTAGTTAGTTGTGGGCAGTGACAGTATTTAGTGACGAGTCACATTCGCCATATCGCAGTGTTGTAAAACGGACATTTATGGCTTTTTATAGAGAGAAGGCTCTCCAGGCGAAATCCCACCATTTCCTGTAACACTGTCGTCGATTGCTTTGAACGGTCATGTATATCGGTCAACGCTTTTTATCGACTATTTGTTCACGGCTATTCGCAGTCGAAGGATCCTCTGTTACTTGCACATACAGGTCAGCCGGTGCACGCCATAGAATTTGAGGACAGTCGAGCAGGGTGAATAATTGTGCAGGTAAGCTAACTTTCCAGGTTACCTGGAGTCTCATTTTCTCTGCTTTTGTATGCTTGCTGGAGCGAGAGGAATTCGTATCCAGCTATCCACACTGAACAGCAGTTGTGTTGGGCGCGATTGGATGGTTTTGGTATAAGGCCCTGGCACAGGTGAGTTCGTGTTGGTTATTCCGATCCCTGTTAGACGGAGGCAATTCCTCAGTCCAATCCCGGAGCTTAAAACTTCCCGACCACGGAGCAATGGGAGAGAGAGTAACAGGTTGACAAAAGACCAAAAAAGACAAGCGTGGAACCTAGCAGTGCGAAAATCCTACCGCGAGACAAAGATGTACCATGTGAAAAAGATATTACGTTGAATATGCTTCTTGATTTTGCGACTAAAAGCATGGCCAAACGGGTAGATTACTGTGCTGTGCTTGAAGATCTAGAGCATGCGACCGGTAATCAGTCAACGATGTGTTACTTAAAGGGTTTAGGCCTAATGTGTAGGAAGAATGAAGACGGTTCAAATACGTGGGACAATCGAAAGGTGAATAAACAGCAGAGGCAAACCATGAACAACCTATTGTAGAATCAGCTGTCGCATTCAGCGCTTAACTTACTTAGATGGTCCATTGGAATTTGGAAGGCTACGGGGTCAACGGCAAGCAAGTTGGACGCATTTAACAGTGAGGGTAAGAGCCGAATTACTTACGAAGCGGAAGCCGCTCGTTGTTGAGAGATTAAGTGAACAGGGATTGCCGAGCAGTCGGTTAAGTGGAGGAGGGTTAAACTGAAAGAAGACCGGTAGTAGCGGAAGATTAAGTTATGGCCAAAACTATACTTTGAACCAGTAAATATGAAATAGGTTGGCGCATCAGTGGATTGCGTGGACCGCCGACGGTGGGATCCTACGGTGTGAACAGCAAGCCAGTTGGACGCAGAGAGCGATGAGGATAAGACCTGGATTAACTACGTTGCATAAGCCGTTCTTTATTGTGATAAAAGGTAAAAATGAACTGCCAATCAGTCGGTTAAGTGGAGAAGGGTTAAAGTGAAAAGCCAGGCCGGAGCAGAAGAAAAGCTTGGTTGTAAACCATACAATACTATGAACCACCTAATATAAAATAGGGTTAAACACCCGAAAGTGGGATTATACGGTGTGAACATCAAACCAGCTAGACCCAGAGAGTTGAGGATAAGTGGCGGATTAGCTACTTAGCGAAAGCCGCTGTTTAGTGAGAGATAAAGGAAAAATGGCCTGCCGCGCAGTCGGATAAGTGAAGGATGGTTAAAGTGAAAAAAGGCAGGCGGTAGCAGAAGAGAATTCTGGGTTGTAAAAACACACTACTATGAGCCAAAATTTTATGCTAGGGTGGCATGTAGACGCTTCAATAGGCTAGGTGAGCCACTCGAAAGTGGAATGCCACGGTGTAAAAGACAAGCCAGATGGACTCAAATAACAGTGGGGGTAAGGGTCGCATTAACTGCCGAGCAGTCAATTCAGTGGGAGAGGGTTACAGTGATGGAAAGCAGGCCGTAGCAAAAGCGACGCTTGGGTTGCAGGACAAGCAAAGCATCGGAACAGCAGCTGTGGAATAGGATGACGCATTTGCGCTTCAGTAGATAAGGTGAATTACTCAAATATTGAATGCTACGGTGTCAATAGAAAACCAGATGGACGCAGCTAGCCATGAGGATAAGAGCCAGATTGCTTACATAGCATCTTAAAAGATAAGCTGCCCGGCTGAATAGTCGGCGCAAGTCCGGTCTAATCTTTCTTGTTAAATTGTGGTAAGTAAGGATTAGGTCTTCTAGAAGCCGTCAGTTGTGCATTGAAAGCATACCCAAGCTATGTAGAATTTCGGGGTAAGATTGCCATATAATCCCTCGGCAAATTTGTTACCTACTCTCAAAACCCACTCGAGCTCCATTTTCTCCCGAACAAAGCAGCGTTGGCAAGTCTAGACGCAGTATTGCAGACGGGGCCGAACGATTGCTGAGGACAGCTTTAGAAATATGTTAGTAGTTGACCCCGGAAAAAGGCATGTTACCCACAACATCCAGAAACCCCTACTTGCTGCCTTCTACCAGTTGTCCTCAGAATACAAAGACGTGGTATTGACAACGCATAGGTCTACCTGGTTGGAGACAATGGAAAGTTTGACCCCACCGTGCCCCTACCTCGAAGGTGGGAAAGTTGCCCCTCTATTAAGGACGGAACACTTGGCCTGCTTATTGGGAACTAGCCACAAAGTCGTTCAGTCCCAGGGTCTGTCCATGTCATGCAAGACGGCCTCAGTGCCTCAAGGACATTTACAACTTTCTATAGCTTAAGGTCATCAGAAAACCATTGGGATGAAAATCCAAGCCCTCCAGGGAGATTGTTTACATAGAGGGAGAACAGCATCGGCCCAAGGACCGAGCCCTGTGAGGCACTGCTAAGGACCCCTTACCTAAAGGAAAGCCGCGCCCCACACGTATCCACTGCTTTATTCCCTGCAAGGACACAGATACCAAATGAAGGGTGCAGCCAGATACTCCGTAGGAGCTCAGCTTCTGGGATAGCCTCAAGTGGAATGCCTTATCAAATGCTTTCGAGAAGTCGATGGAAAACACACCAACTACGTGGCCCTTGTCCACTGCCTCGGCCCAAGTTTTACGGACAACCGACAACTTTTTCAGACACGAACACTCCTTCCGGAATCCGTATTGTGCACTGGTGCATCGATACAATCTATTCAGGTGAACTCCCAACGAATCTCTCACCAGCGTTTCAAGCAGTTTCACCATGATGCTAGTCAGACTGACTGGCCTATAATTAGCTGGCGGAGTCCTGTCGTCATGTTTGAGGCTAGTGGAGATACCAGCCTTCTTCTATTCAGAATGTGGTGTACAGCTGTCAAGGAACTTCTGGAACGCCATCATCAGCGGCCCACTTAGTTCCACCGCCAGCTCAAGCAGAAGCTTCCTGCAAATTGTATCAGGTCCAGCTGCTTTGGAAGGGTTCAGCCCTTGCAGCAACCTAAGCACTTCCGTTTGCACCACAATAAATTCAGCTAAACATTAACCTTGATAATTTGAGGACAAGTTCAATGCTAGGCAACGCGCCCCCACGTACGAAAGCCCCTGTATACTGCTCACCAAGTACAGAACCCTGTCCGAATCCGCAAACGCATGAGTACATTCGGCCGGAAACAAAGTTGGAATTGGCGGATTTGAATCACAGTCTCTCTTAATCTAAGCGAAGAATTTATTCCGATTTTCCGAAACACCATCAGACAATTCGTTCTCTTACAACAGCCGAGCTTTCCTTAAGCGTCGCTTACACCTATTTCTACTCTCGCGGTCACTTCATAGGTGCTAGTGGATGGAGCCGCACAGTAAGTCCTCAAGCACCTAGAACGCTTCTGGGGCAGGTACTCGACAGTGTTATTCATCCACGGCGGCCGTGCATGTGTCTCTTTCCTCTTCACCAGCGGACTTAGGGAGTAGGCAATTCAGTGAGATAAAACTTAAATTTATCCCAGGCCGCCTGGATCGTATCGGATACTGAGATTTCGCAACGCAACCCAGAAGCCTTGATACGCATTGATTGATATTTATCATGTCATATGTTTGGACGTGGCTCAGCCATGCTCTGGTAACCTCTGGTCAGTGTAAACATGATTGCTAAACAGACATGATCACTGGCCTCTAAGGGAGAGTTGTAAGCGATGTCACTTACGAAGTCTAGTGACGGCTAAAACAGGATCCAACATAAACGGTGATTGGGCGTCCTAATTGGGAGGTCCACGAACTGATGCAACGGTACTTGCAGCGTAAGCTCAAGAACATCGACACCGAAAGTACCTTCTGCAGAGTTGCCAGAAAGGTCTGCCAAGCGCCATTCCGGTTGATTGAAGTCCCCCAGTATCAAATATGTGTTTGCGGATTGGGAGCGAATAAAGTCAAGCACCAATTTGGAGGCACTTCTAGGGCTTCTATATCCAATTACAACTGTAAGTTGTGCTGTGGAAGTGCGAAGCACTACCGACAGGGCTTCGGCAGTTTGATCTTCTGACTGAAACATGTAGGTACGCAAAATGTCAAGTCCACTTCATCTACGTAGGCTTTCGATGTTTCCACCAAACCGATTTTGCATTTATAATTTAGTTTCCTTTTCTCTTTGATTTTAAGCCCACAGGATTAAGTAGGCTTTGTTTTTTACCCGTAATACACTGTGTCTCTCTTACGACATGACTCGTTAAAATACTTTCGCAGAAATTAACGAGTTGCTTTAATTCCTTATCTTTGAATAGGTTAACAGCACCAACTTAACACGATTCCAACATTTATTTGTCGAATTTCTGGTGCAAGTTGCTGCTAGTTGGTCGGTGATTATGCAAGGACTTCTAAGCAAGGAGTATTTAAGAATGATATCGTTCACTGACTTCGTAGTGCTGCTAACCTTTTGCTGGCTTTTATTATATTTTCCTGATTTATTTGTCAAACAGAAAAAGACCATTGTTTTCGTTGCCTACTGATTCCGCGCACCCAGTTCACCGTTAACTTTTCGTGCATTGTCCTTCCCCGCTCAATGGCCACAGTTGAGCCCATCGATATTCTGCGGCAGAATTTGGAGTTAGCAAGGGAGCAGCTCAAAACCGTAGATGACAATATCAGGCGCATAACCGGCCGTGATCCATCAGATGACAGGTAGCACATGCTGGACCTCTTCCATCTTTAGATTCCCCCGTCGTATCAACGACACTACTTTCCGACGTCCTGGGACAAAGTCGGCTACAAGGCTACCGGCTCTGAAGTGAGCGTTTTCCATTTGTGTCCTTTATTTTGCCTTTCAGTCCACCTCGTCCTGAGTTAGTGAAACAGAAGCTTCCTGATGAAGATCTTCAAGTATGTAGCCTTCTTATGACCGCATTTCTTCAACTGGTTGCCCTAATCGTGCGTCCTGGTTGATGCTTGTAATTTTTTGAGATGTGAGCTTATCGTTTTTGGTGCAGGAGTTGATCATCTTTCTGCGCATTCGTCTTTCCGCCTGTGGACACAAGTGTCTTGAGCATATCGACATAAATGTAGGTGCTAACTTGAAGCAAGCACTTAAACTGAACTCAAGTTCCTTACCAGGATCAGATGGACTACACTTCCTGTTCCTCAAGATGGTAGCAAAATTCATTGCTGCTCCACACTACCAAGTTTTTCAGCCATCTCTTAACGGTAGTTGACTACCTCTCCATTGGATGACGAGCGTTATGTCGAAATACTGGGGTGGAAACCGCCGATTTGTTTGACGTCGTTTCCGTGCAAGATCATGGAAAGTCTCATTGAATATGCCATACATCGACACTACGAAGACCTGAACACCTCGTCGAAGTGGACGTTCCCGCAACACTGACTTGTTTATCACGAGAGAAAAGTGGGTGTAATCAGTGAAAGCTGGAAAACGTTTAGATGCTGTATCCATCGACTTCAGCAAAGCTTTTGTCAGAGTCAATCATCAACAGCTACTCTATAAGCTCTGCGGAATTGGCGTAACAGGGAACGTCCTACTATTAATCACTTACTTTTCTAAGGTCACTGGTTCATTGGGTAATAGAGAGCGGGAGGGAGATTCCTTGTCAGCTCTGTCGCTTCCCGATCATTGCTGGGATGCTCGTCATTGCGCAACGGAAACTCCGGAGAGGCCATCGCACTCGTAGCTAAAGCAACACGATCCCTGCATATTCAACAGGTGTGAATCAAATAGTCTTTTGAAGCAATCCTCCGTCTGTGCATCAACGACGGGCGGTGCTAACCGGTTCCAGTTATTCACAACGCGAGATGATAGATCAAAAATGGGCCGTACTTTGAGCCTCCGTGGTTTGAATATTTTCCATCGGTAGCCTCTAGTCGAATTCCCAGTGTTGAGGTGGAAGAATTCCTGCAACGTTCTCTCTAGTTCTCCCCTGAGGATACGACAGGTAAAAGTCAAGCCCACGCCGGCGACGGTAATCCCTAGAAAACATAATCAAATTTCGAAGCCGAAGGGGATACGGCACGTCACCTAACTCGGAGAACTTCGATCCACACCGTTGAACCTTTTCGATTGTCGCGCTCAAATTTGGACGGTGAGTAGGCGGCATGGAGGCAGTATTCCAGAATCAGCCGCACATGCGAAATGAACAGAAGTCTAAAAAGTTCCGGTGTCAAGCGAGAGAAAGCTATTGGGATGACGTGAAACATCCTGTAGACAGCGGCAACCCTCTTTATGGTGTTTTTAGTGGATCGTAAGTCTGGTGAAACAATCACGCCTACATCTCTCTCTGGAGTGACATTTTTGAGCAAGAAACCACCTGTGGTAAGCTCCGAATGGTTCAGGGGCGCCGATGGGCAGGACGGAACATTTGTCTTGATTAATGGGTAAGCGCCACTGAATCGACCAATTATGCAGGAGATCGAGCGTCACTTGTATTTGATCAGCATCCTCTAGAGAGGTTACCTTCTTCCATATCTTTAGATCATCCGCATAAATCAAGCAATCCGATTAAAGCTCACGGTAGATTGTTGATGAAGATGTTGAAGAGTTCGGGGCCGAGGACGGAGCCCTGTGGGACACCGCTGGTCATATTTACAGGATCGGAATACGTTTCGTTCACTCTCACCATCATGGAACGACTGTGCAGGAAATCGGAAATTCACGAGAGAAAGTTTCCAGTGACACAGGTCGGAGCACGCAACTCAAGTTAAACGTAACCCTCTCATTCCCAGTGCCTATGTCCATTGCTGTTCCTCATGGCTCCGTTCTCGGACTGGAACTGTTCAAGAGGTTCTCATATCATATTTAGATCACTACATATTTTATTCCCTAATAATCGGGTGCACACTCAACCTGCTTAACTGCTGGCGTATAACTGTTGTTGATGATGAAATGCTTTTATTCATCTTTAAAGTCACCCATTAGCGCGTTTTTTCTTGAGCACCGTTTTGCGAGTGCCTGTGTTCTCGAACCTAAGGTCAGGTCAGGTACAACGGACGATAGAGGCTTTCGCCTAACGAGCGTCCAGTTTCTTGTGCCGGTAAGTGAAGCGGCCCTCGGCACTTCAACGTTGGATTGACTCTTATTGCTACTTCAAAGGAATGAAGCAAGAACGAGAGCAATCATTGCACGTTCATGTGTCAGCATCAAAATACACTACATATTCCAGTACAATTACAATATTCTGGGAAAAGGACAGACCAACACTCATCTAAGCCCCTTTTGAAGGCTTTTACAGACTCACATTCCACTGAATCAGAAGGAGGTTTATTACTCGGTTCGTAAAAATTTTTTGCCCTGATGTCCAAACGAGCTCTATGAGGTTAGCTTCAGGCGATACCCGCGCAAGTGGTCCGACATAGCTAACTCAAACAGATTGGTGGGACTAATACCACTAAGTCTCTTAATAATCTCAAACGTCTCTCTCAAATTCCCCCTCAACCTACTCAGTTCCAAGGAACATAATCCCGATCTACTTAGACGATATTCATACGACTTCCCTCGTTGACCTTCGATCATCCTGGTCGCAAGTTTCTGAATATTTTCTATACACATGGCATTAACACGCGGGTACGGTGCCCAAGCCTGATCACAATCCTCCAGATGTGGTCTAACCGCTGCTTTATATAACGGCAAGAATACTTCTGCTTTAGTGTTACTCAGCACCCTCCTAAGACGAAATAACTTGTCGCGCTTTATTGACAGCATGGGGACACTTTGCCGAAGGCTTAAAATCGTTCGCTATGATGACACCTAGATCGCGGGCTTCATCAGTACACTGCAATGATAGTGATCCCGCAGGAGACTTCACTACAGTTCCGCTACTACTATTGGTCACTAGCTGACATTTATTGGCATTCAGAGGTAGATCTTATTGGCTAGACCAATTCGACACAGTGGTGATGTCCTTAGCCAGTGTCGCTCGGTTTCCCCTACTAATTAGCTTTAACTCATCTGCGAAGATATAGCAGGGATTCTCAGAGAGAAGAGCCAGGTCATTTATAAACATAAGCAATAACAACGGACCCGGTACCGAACCTTGGGGAACACCGCTGTAGGCATGACCCACACTAGGACTCGCTTCCTCAACCCTAGCTCTGCATGTCCTTCCACGTAAGAATTCAGGAAGCCACAGTTATAGTTGAGGATGCAATCCAAACCATGTCAGCTTCTCAATTCAAAATAGGTGATTCACTGAGTCAGAGACTTTACTGAAGTCCAAATAGCACACCTCTACCGACATCCCACTACCAAGACATCGTTTAATCTCATCTAAAAAGCACAATAAGTTGGTAAGACATGACTTACTTTTTAAGAAAGCCATGTTGTTCCGCTCCGATTAGATTGTGCTCAGTCAAGTGCTCACAGATCCTATTTCTTGTAAGTTTTTCCACGCACTTCAGCATGCTGGTGGTCAAACTAACAGGTCTATACTTGAGGGGCACTGACTTAGAACCCCCTTATAAATTGCGACAATTGTCGCCTCCTTCCAATCACGTGACAAATTGCCTTCTTGAAGAGGTTGGTTGAACAACTTAGCAACGGGATACTAAAGGATATCAGCCAGCGGTTTAACTATGGCGGGATGTACACTATCAGAACCGGCGGATTTATAAAGGTTCAAACTGGCCAACACTGTGAGGACCTCTGGTACATTGAGAATAATTTCTCACATTGTATAGCTACTTGAACAATGCGGCTGTGATAGCAAGGCTGACCCACTATTCTTCCGACGCAGCTTTTGGTAGACACACAGCAGCACTTCTACTTTATCGACGTTGTCTACAGCCTGACTGTCGTTGCATCCTACACCTTATGGTTCGTCGTTGGTTCTTTTTTTCTGATTTTCACTGGTAGGTCCAATCTAATGGCCACCTCGACCCACTTCCTCATCAAGTCCCTATTCATTGATACCGACTACGTTCGGTGACTTTTCGTTGTTCTTGTTTGTCGTTTATTTTTCTCCCGTATACCATTTCAGTGTGGCTGATATCTGCACGCTGATCTTAATTTACTATCTAAACCCCTGTTCATCACTTGTCGATAGCTGTATTTTTCTCTGGTTGAACCCGCTATCATCATTCGTTTTGTTCCTTTCCGGACACCCTTTCAGGTTTCCCTGGCCTCTTCCGTTATATGCGTCAATGAAAGCCGCTCTCGTCTGGAAGCTGCAAAAAATATGCGCAAATCAGATAAAGATCGGTGGGTTTTGCCAGTTACACATACCTGCCTTTACAGTTTGGCTGTGGATCATACCCACTGAAATTTTCTAGAAGTGACACGAGGTTGTGAGAATCCCATTACATTATAGCAAAAGCAGCTTTACCCGTGGTAGATATCTTTGCATTGTCGTCTGACACTACAGCATTAGTTGGGCAATGCTCAGTACTGTTATTGGAAATTTTATTATCTGGAATTGCTTAGCCTATCGGGGCATTTGCGTAGTGTCGGTTGTTTCTTCGCATTGTTAAAGCCTTTAGTCCTAAGGCCGACGGGTAACCGAAGTGATATGACGTCTGCCTCAACTGTCACCGATTCGAGTCTGCGTAGGCGTGCGCGACTTCGCGGTATCCCTAACTCGCGCGCTTCATGGTGGTCATGGGGCAACGAAGCGTCATGACGGCATACTGCTATTGCCTTTCACTCCGAAGGCAAATCGTCCATACTGAGAGCACAGCGTGAGCAATGAACCTGCTCGGGGTATTTGGTGCAGGAAGAGCGAGTGAACCGCTCAGCACCGTTCTATCACGCACCAAGCTCCGATGGCTGGGCTACGTGTTGCGCGTGCCAGAACACCGACTCCCGCGACGTGCACTGTTTGCGCGCCCGGGGTGCTATTGGAAGAGGAGGAAGGCCAACCGATGACTTGGTCGAGAGAAATGAAAACCCTCAGTTTGAAGTTGGCGTCGGTTGGTGCACCCCGACTGCCTGACTGAGGTCCCAAGGACGATGAACACGTTTGGTTAGACACACTTATTGTTATGGCGGAGAGCCGACTTCAGTGTGAATCTCATTGTCCACCCCTCCTTTTAGAATCCCCCTCCAGTTCCGGTCTCATACGAAATGCATAATACAATATTCAATCTTAACTTACTTGCTCTTGAATTTTTTGTAATGTAATTTTTTATTATCTTTTTGTATTGCGACACTTGAGCTGTAGTGTTTCTCAACCAACGTGTATTGATGATGATGATCATTATATCGTCCAACTGAGACGTCTGCATCCGTTGAATTACTGTACTCTGAGCACCGAAATGTAACGAATCCGCTTATCATTACTCGCTGCGACTGCTTTTAAAACATAGTAATGGAACAGCAGATTGAATTGCAGTTCTGCGCATATTAAGGCGACGATAACTGAGTAATACACAGGGAAAGACGAACGGCTAAAGCAATATGTGAAAGTCGAGGGGCAAGGGCCTCATTTACATCACTTAGCCATCTCGGCAGTCTATATCCACTGATGAGACCGATCACGGGATCCTCTTCAGGAAACAAGCCGTGTGATAACAGGACAAAGCCTCTGTCATTTGCATCATGTACTTTCGCCATGTCATCAACTGAATACAGTAGGTCTTCCATCGACGGGGCACTTCATCCGAAAACAGTTCATGTCGGTCGCCAGACACATCACACCGATTGCAATCGGCTCCATTGCGCTATACAAAAGACGTTCTAGGCTACTTTTCATGTAAGATTGAAGCGTCGGAATAGTGGATGCGTTTCTGAGGCTCCGGTTAGTCCGGCTTAGGCACCTAAGACGTTTCTTTTGCGAGTATGGTTATGGCGTCGACATCGGAACTGCACTGACAAATCGCACCGCCGTTTCGCTACCACCCCATCACCAGTTGACCTGGATACTGCTAGGTCACCCGCATCTACAAAGACAAACTGATAACTCGTATCACACCTGAACCACTCCACCACCTTTCGTGCCTTCGCGGTTCGGTTTTCAAGATTTTCCTAGTGCTTCCAAATGGCAGCTGATAAGGATTCTCACAACCAAGCTGATTTATTGTCTGTTGGCAAGGGTCCGCAGAAAGACCAGTGTCACTAGAAACATCCACACACTTCCAACTCCTTCGACGCGCTGGCCTGCTTTGGGCTGCCGTGAGTAAGATAATACATGAGAGATGGACAACTGTTTCATCCGCTTATTGCGTGGGTGTATGTTTTGAAAGTACTTTTACATACTCGGCGAGTCGGCTTCGTTACTTGGACCACGTCAATCCAACTGGGATGTTGATGTAACAAATACTAGCGGTCCACGAGTTTTTACACATGCTGGTGCTTTTGAAACAGACAAAACGCTTGAGCCTGACAACTTTCCAATACCATTACTACAAGATGTTGGCGATTCATTTGAGAGTTTTGGTTACTCTGATCCAGGCTTTTTGGTGTAAGAAGGACGTGTTGTTTGACTGGGACTCGTCAAGGGCCATTCCAGTATATATAAGGAACCAAAGGACATACTATGAAAAGCGTGGTGTTAGCTGCATCTAATTCACCTCCAAACCACCCATCTGCACCTCACAGCGACCCACTGCTCGTCATGTGAATCAAATAATTGAAAAGCTAGCCTCATTGTCACAGAGTACACTGACCAAGTGTTTGCACTTCGTGCCATCGCAACGAGACTAGACTTTAACGTGGTGCGACGGTTTGCGTATCTCCTCGACCTATTGTGCTATACTGGGTGAGGACCTTTAGCCCCTTAAGAGCTACTCCTACCAGGTTGGTCGATGGTTAGAGGTCAGACGAACTCAGATTCTTGGTCCTCCATGTTAGGGGTTTAAAATGGGATGACGTCCATTTCTGTAAAACCGAATCGTTGCCACATCCGTCGCCTTGCGAGCAAGCTGTTAAACCAAAGGCTTTGGTTGAAGGCTCTAATCATTTTCCTGTCTAGGTTTGGGCGCTCTTGCAGTATCTCAGCTCACTTACAACCATTAATGCTTCTTCAAATTTCAACCATATCCTGCATCGGCCGTAGCGCATCTTATCACGCGTCGCCTTATCTGCTGCATACAGCAGGGCGGATAAGCTAAAACGTGCTGCTGCTAGCGCCTCCCTTCTTCCCTTTCTACCTGTTTCTCTTACTCGCGTCCCAGTCCCCATTACTAACCTTCCTACTATAATTCCCAGTTTAATTTACAGCAACCGCACTTTCACTGGAGTCATACCATCTGCAGCTATCTTCCCGCACCACGCACTGGATATTAATCGCCAACAGCTCCTTATAAGGCCTCACGTTGCCCCGTTTCCTTATTGGCGTTCCACGTTCGCACTCTAAGACGAATAGGTCAACAGGCTGGGCTCGCACGCACGTTAGACACGCTAGGTATTGACGTGTGTTGTGTATACAAAACTAGGGCCAATGACCCTCACGGAGTTGTTGAATTGACTGCGCCCGGCTTGTCCTCTCACTGTTGGTTGCACGCATCCGGAGACGCTAATGCGGCAGTCACTGTTCAAACTGGAGTGGGCATTGTTCTCAGCTCCAAGGCTGTCATCTTTGGTTGACTGGTTTCCCGTGAACAGCCGTTTGTGTGCAATCCCTTTAATTACATCAAATAAAGTTGATTCACGAAGTAGCACTAGACGCTGTTTGTGATTTCCGCTTATGCCCCCACCGATTGCAGCTCTGATGCTGCGAAGGACACCTACCACGAACTGAACACGCAACTACGCAGTGTTACCAATTTAGATACCATAGTTCTTGCAGGGAACATGAATACCCAAGTAGATCGTCTGGGCTCTTCAGAACCTCAGCTAGGTGGTAAGTATTGACTTAACTCCGACTGTACGGTCAACCGCGAGCGTCTGTTACAGCTGTGTGCGGAGCACCGGCTGTTTCTTAGTAGCATCGCTTTTAGACAGTGGGCACCGAAGTGCCATTTGGCGTCCTGTAGATGGCCAGCGATGAACCCATATAAATCACTTTGCCATAAGTTACAGGTGACGTGGTTGTTCCATTCTGGATTGTCGCTCTTTCTGGAGAATTTGCGTCGATTCTTATCATGACTTGGTACGCTGTCGTTTTTTTATGAACTTTACCGGGAGGCGTACCAAGCGTCTCCTTCGATTGGCAACTGGGAAGTTACCTCAGTCTTCGGTCAGGCAAGCCTATCAGGCCCTGCGCACTGAACTTACATTCTCTTATTTTAATAACACGGCTTCAGTGAATAGGATCTCGGCCGCCATACATCATGCAGCAGTCCGCTTGTGGCATTATCAATCGTCACCACACTAGTCACTGGATATCCGAGAGGTCGGTGAACCTGTTGGAATACAGTAGGATACTTTCGGCTGGCTCTGATCTCAATGTAACTAGGTGGACTATTAGGCGCGAACTAAAGCGGAGCCTACGTGTTGGCAAAGAAACCTAGTGAACCAGTCGGGTTCAAGTAATGTAGGAAGCAGGGTCAGTAGATAATTATCACAAGCTCTTCCAACTGATTCGTACCACTGGTCCCAGGCGTCAGTGAGACAATCAGAGACAGCGCGAGTGCCATAATTCACAATAAGGAGCGCCATATGGCTTGTTGGACGGAGCACTTTCGAGAGCAGTTCAGTGGTCCCCCTGCTTCTGGACCTCTTTCTACTCGTGTCGCAGACTGAGCCATGGCCAATTAGTTTAGATTCCGTCGGAGTCTGATGTCCGAAACGCGATCACAGCCCTTACTCGTTTTCGATCTGCTGGCCCGGATTTCTTCGCACCCGCACTATTTAAGGATGGTTGTGCGATCAACTGCAAGGCACTGATCTCCCTGTTCGAACAGGTCTGGAAGATAGACCATCCCAGCTAACTGGAATGAATCAGTTATAGTGGCGATATACAAGAAGGATAGCCGCCCCGACTGTGCTAACCACAAGGGTATTAGCTTAACGCCGTTGGTGACAAAATTGATGGCCTACATTCTCGTTCGTCACTGCGGAGCGAGAGTCACGCATTAAGGAAGAGTAGGCAGGTTTCCGTCCAGGACGTGGCTGTATAAACCATATATTCGCTCTGCGGCGGCTGCTGGAGTAACATCACACATACCGCAGGCCGATCATAGCTGTGTTGCTTTACTTCTTGATTGCTTTCGACTCAGTCGATCGATACATTCTGTTTGAAATACTTGCGCCGGAAGGCGTTCCCTTGAAATGTGGGAACATTTTAGTGCTCTATACTCGAACATGACAGGCCGCGTCAGGGT